GCACATGTGTGGCGGCGCCAAAGGCACCGTGCACACATCGTCACCCACTCGATACAAGTGCACACACTAAGGGCGCGCGCCTATCGTCTCTCTGTGAAGGAAAAAAGCAAAAGGAGATACTAGTGTGAGCTGCATGGCGCGACCTGGCGTCCAACCCAATCATTTTGTACGGTAGCGCGAGGCGGCCGTGCGGAGCGCCGTGCGAGCGGCCGTAGGCACGCCCGGCGCGCGCGCCTGCCCGCCGGGTCTGCCCAGCTCCACGGCGCTCCGCCCCCGGCCTCAGGCCGCGCGCTCCCCGCTCGCTCGGCGGCCGCCGGTGGTTTTTGCTCGCTGTCGCTGTGGGACTTACCAGAGGTGGGCAGCCCCGTCAGGGGGGAGGCGGAGGGGACGGCGGCGGCGGCGGTGGCGGCGGCCCCCGGGGCCTCAGGGGCACCGCCAGCGGGGGCCGCGGGGGCTGCGATCCACAGGGCGAGACACAGCGCGGCGCAGGCGGGCATCCTCCTGGAACAAGAGCGGGCGCAAGCGCGCAAGCGGGTCAAGGTCAGGCGCAACAGTGTCTCCGGGGAAATTATTTGTTGTTGTTTTTGTCTCGCTTCCCTTCTCCTCAGCGTCAGTCGCGCCGCGAGCGCAGCAGAGCCAAGGAAAAAGGGCGTGCGGTTCATTATTATCCCGCCCCTAAATCAGTCCTTTAATAATGCGAGGCGAGAGTAGCCAGGAGGCAGCCGGCGGTGCTCAGGACCGGAGCGGGTAGGGAGGCGGCGCAGGGCTGGGCGCACGAAAACTCCATTTTTCCAGTCCCGGTGCGACGCTTAAAGCCCCACCGGGAGGCCCCCGCCTGCCTGTCAATCAATTATTCATTTTCTTCAGAGCGCACTAAGTGGCCCGGCCCGGGCCCTGGCCCAGGCCCAGTGGAGGCCGGAGCCATCCGCAGCCCAGAGCCACGGCTCTGCAGCCACCAGAGCGAGCGGAGCGAGCTCCAGAAGCATCGCCTGCGTCGCGCCAGCCCCGGCGACTCCAAGTGCAGCGTCAAAAGTGAAGGGGGAATGATTTCTCTACGTGACGGCGCGGTGGGTGAAAAGATGTCGGAAGGTTGAGGGGAGGGGTGGTGGGTGGTGTGGGGGCGGCGGACAGGCGTACAAGTTGGAGGATAGTACGAGTCGATGCAGCAGGAGAGGAGAGAGACAGAAAAACAGACAGGGGGAGACAGACAGAGAGAAAAGCGCGAAAGTTGAAAAGAGGTTTGGAAAGGTAAGAGGGGAGTGGGGTGGTGCCAGGGGGCGGGCGGCTGCTGCTGCCGAGGTGGAGTGACGCCTTGTGCGAGGCGCGCCTGGGCACGGACCCCCCACACTACTGCTCACTGGCAACACACTCTCCAGATCACAAATGTCGGTGACAGCCCGCACCAGCCGTGCCCCCGAGGCTGCTCCGGCTCGGGGCGGGGCGGGGCAGGGCGGGGCGCGGCCGGGAAAACTTGCTGCTCTTCCCTCTTCTGTGGCGCGGCCTGGCCGGGGCGGGCAGGGGCGAGGCGCGCTGGAGCAGCGGATGCTACCCGGATGCGGTACTTGGCCTGTACGTGGCAAGGGTTTCTCATACCAGCCGCGGAGGCGCGACACTGGCCGGCTCGGCGGGGCGGGGCGAGGCCGGAGGATATTGGAGAGGGATGCACAATATCGGGCGGGCGCCGCGAGGACGTGTCAAGGCCTCCGTGCACTGCAACCCTCCCCTCGTCCGGCCTCGCTATGAGAGGAAAGGGTATTCGCCAAAATCATTTCTTCGAAAAGGCAGTCCAACTGCTGCACCTCCAGCTGTTGGATGTGAAGGGTGATGTGTATGGAAATAGAGTTGTTTGGCTGAGGTGCATGGGATTCCATATCGTTATTTATTTATTTTCAAAGCTCTTTTATTATGGGGTCCAGAACGTGGAAAGAGGATACTGTTTTTATAGAAAATGGAGGTAGGAGAGCATGAGAAAAACGCCCTATCTTAAAATTTTGCATTAAATGGAATTCTGATGACGACCGGCGGGGCCGCCATAGAGTGGGGCCAGTGGGTCGGACAGGCTGGACCTTCCAATCGAACGACAAAGAGACTTACTATTCATGAGCTCGGCGCCAAATTGACTGCATATTTACCGTCACACGTGTGTGTGTGTTTGAGAACGTGAATGTGTGTGTGTGTGTGCGGGAGTGTGACGGTGCGCGTGTGTCGTCACGGTGATGAAAAGAGAGGAGTTGGGGAAAGGGGTGAGGTCACGCACAGGCTTTGAAAAAAGAGCATTTAAAGAGGGGGTTGGCGGCAGGAGTGGTGGGCGAAGCGGGGGGCAAAAAGGAACCACGAAGCGAGCGCGGGCCCGGGCCGCATTTAACCAGGCTGCACACTCGACGACAGCTCGCCAGCGCGATTCACGCAGCGATTCATCGGCTCAACTCGATTACAATACGCGCGGGGGAGCGAAAAATGAAACAGGATGATGGAATGTGGCAGGTGGTGCAGCGCAGCACGGCGGCTGCGTGTGTGGGGGGGCGTTGAGCATCGGGCAGCGCAACGCTGCTTAGAGTGATGGATCGGTGTGGCATAGGGAGAGGCTGGCCCGGGCTGGCGGCACTTCCAGCCCCCGGTCATTCGTTACCACGCACACCCGGAATGTAATGTGCTGTCGTGGCGGAGGCAGCAAGGAGCAGCAACGGAAGCAGCGGCCCTCTGCGCTCCTCAGCAGTGTAGGGTAGCCCCGCCCCGCGCCGGCTGAAGAAGGGCTCTGCCGAGGCTCTGGCGGGGCTCTGCCGCGGCCTGTACTGCGGCGAGGCCCGCTTTAAACGCCTGGCTCAGGCCGGCCGGGGCGGGGCGGGGCCGGCGGAAGAGGCACTCTCACTGGAAAGAGAAATGATTGCCGGTGTATTACATAACCCGCTGCTCAGCGGAGCAACCCCAGCCAGCAGCCAGCCCGGCAGCCGCCGCTCCGCGGGTGGGGGATGAGGGAAAAATAAAGAGAGTCATCTCGTTATGCAGTACACTCGCGGGCCTGCCTCGGCCTTTTTAGAGCAACTGCTTTTGCTGCTACAGTCTGCCTCATCCCCGAGCTACATATCGCCCCACGCCGCCACGCCTCGCCCAGAAGTACCGCGCGAGGCGCGAGGCGCGCGAGATGGAGTGCAGCGTTTTCCCGGGAGGTGGTGGCTTGATATAGAGCTAGACGGTGCCTTCTCAACTTTCGCATTGATTTTTTTATTCTTTCAAGAGTAGTACAAACAGATTCTGTCCATATTGTTTTCAAATAGTACAAATTTTTTCGGTCACAGTCCATTGTGTCCCTTTGTCATGGGCTGGTCCTCGACTAATGTGGCGGTGGCAGCTTGATCTAGCTACCCTAGTAACACAAAACTGTCGCACATAGTGATTTTTTTATCAATCGTCCAATAATTGTGACGATAACGAAAATCCAATAGTGATGGCCTTTTCATAGTCAGACGATTGTCGCTCGCTGGTCTATCAAATGTAAACAATTTACCATCCTGTTAATTTTTTATCGATTTCTGATTGAATTCACAACAGTAGTTTTTCGCTTCCATAGCTGGCCGATTTTCGTTTCGAGGAAAAAAGATAGTATACCTATAGAATCATTTTTCTCATTTCGTATATCGCATACCGATAGTCCGTACCTTTATTTCTACTGTTGTCCGATCCGACAGCCGTACGACAGTTCTGTGCTACTAGGGTAGACGGTCCCTCGACTTAACACCTTGATTTTCTCGGTGTTCAAGAGTAGAGCATATTCGACTGATATGATTTTCGAAGAGTACAGAATTTTCTGGTTACAATCATGAGCCCTTCTCTCATGTTACAATGCAATCCTGACACATTCCCACGCATTTTTCTCTCCCATCTTCTTTTTTCTCGTTTTCTATATCCAATGACGGTGGGTTCCAAGCGAGCGCACCTGACAGCCTGCTATCTGCAGCCCTCTCCCTCCCTTCTTCCTCTTTTTCAACCCCTCTTTACCCTAACCTATCTATTCCAGGAAGACACCTCCCCTGCAGGTGTTTCTGACGGCAGCCCTGTGAATTTCCCATCAACGGATCTGCTTTGCCCCCACCTCTCTAGCTCACCCTCTTGCGTCACGCGAAAAGATCTCTGCGATTTAAAAAAGGGACCATCGGAGGAAAAAAATCTGTATTTTCAAGTTATTTCATCTTTAGCAGATGATACCTTAAAATATTTAAAAACTGAGACTGAGACTCTAAAAAAAAATTACTTGCAGGCATACCAGGTGGCTGATTAACCCCGCGCACTTCTGTAGTTAGACTGTACCGCACGCAGGAGTGCGGGCGGGCTTTCCTATTGCCCCTGTCCAAGACGCCTTCCGGGCCGGGCGAGTAGGCAACCCGCCCGCACTCGTGCGTGCGGTACAGTCCGGGTACAGTCTAACTACAGAAGTACGCAGGGTTATAATCAGCCAGCTGGTATTTTGAAATGACTTCGAACCTGAAATACAACAAGAAAACGAAATGTATATGCCAAAAACTCCATGGAAGTGGCCCATTTTGGTAAGAAACACTCCCTTTCGAGCCCAAACAGTGAAAGATGGAGCAATCATTTTGTTTTGGGGCCATTTTTATGGGAGAGACTCCTTTTAGCGCCTAAACAGAGTGAGAGATAGAGCCTAATGGGCGAAATTCCAGTCCCTAGGGTTTTACATATATAGAATTATGTCAGATTTTCCAGAACAAATGTGTAAGAAAGCGTTCCCAAATTGGCATTTTTCAAATTGTTCTTAAAATTTCAACTGCCCTGTGAAACAAGTAGTGCAAGTGTCCTGTTGTGTCCCCCGTGACTTCGCGGGGTGGTCCGCGGTGGCCTCACGCCTTCGCGAGTTTAAAAATAATGCCCACCTCCCCCCCCCCCCCATTAATTTGTGTTTTCGAAAAAGAATTTTGAAAGATTTGTTAAAATTCAAGAACATTTCTTGCGTTGTTTCAAGAACGCATTCTGCTGGGTGTGTTGGAGAACAGGAGGGCTCTTCACTTATCCATGCTTCTGCTATATGCCCCACTCGGCGCGGGGCGCTTGGCGCTCCCACCCGTGGGATGCGCCCCACAGGGACCCATTAGTCGGCGGACAAAGCCGCAGTGCTTCTGCCCGCCGCTTTTATTCGGCGCACGAATGTTATTTTTGTTCGTCCACGAATCCAACTACTCATTAGTGGGGCAAAAGTTGAGCGGCATGACATGGGATGGGTGTCTGGCTCCATTGCGCCCCGGCCAGGGTCGGGCTGGGCCGGGCGCCGGGCCGGCTGCTGGAGGGAGTTCTGAGTATGGAGACCCCTCGTCCCCTACCCTCCCCTGGTCGGGGGCGGTCGGGGGCGGTCGGGGGCGGCATACTGAGAGACGACGACGGCCCGATCTTTTCGTTTGCCCTACATTAAAATGCTTATACATGCTAAATAAATTATTAGCAAACGTTTCGAATGATTTGAATGGTCTGCGATGTGACAATTTGTCAAAACGATTATTAGTATCAAGACAAAATAACTTCAAATAAACGACAGAAAAAATATAGTTGCTTCGTCGTATTTTCGCCGTTTGTTCGTCCGTCATCTGGGTGGGTATCATTACCAAACGACAACCTTTTAAGGAGTAACTCCATACTGCCATGAATGTACGTTATTTTTCATTTTACGCTACAAACCCCTTTTTTTCTGGGAGAGGGGGAGGGTGCTGGCGCGGGCACTGCACCACACACCACACACCACACACTGCGTTGTGTGGACGGACTAGTCGAGGCTGTCCGGGCGGCACGGGCTGCTTTTGTTTTCGGAGTCAATTGTACAGCGAGCAGCACAGCAGTAGCAGTATCCGTGCTCCACGGTCGGCTGGCGGGCTGAGCGGGGCTGGACGACCGCTCTCCAAACGTGGATATCTCTATGGGGTGGTTGGGGTGGCTGTGGCCATTAGGGAGAGAAGGGGGCGGGTCTGCGGGCAGGACGTTTCGGTCAGGGAGACTCAAAACTCTGGGCGCGCACTCACACACTCTCATAACACATCCACGCGCGCACAAACGTACACGCACACACACACACACACACACACGCATACATACACTCACACTCTTCCTCAGCTAAGCGCCAGTCGGTTCCATTGTGCGATATTATTGTCGCGGTCATTCATGTTGCGGCGCGCAAACTGCCAAAGCGTCGAGCGCACGCGAGCCGGGACAAAGGCGAGGGCAATGAGCAATCACTGCAGGAAGAGTCGCAAGTCTATTTATTTATTTTATTTATCTCCCCCTTCCCCGTTCTCCTTGATTGATTTCCATAAATCATAGGCATGCCCATCTAAACTGTTATGATGAGATACTGCCCCCCCCCCCTCCCCTAGCCCGGAGGATAGCCGTAAAAGAGATTGGATACCTGTATATAAAACTCGACGCGCTTTCGTATTGTTTCGTTTTATACGTTTTTTGGTATGCGCGCTGGAAAGGAAAGGTAAATTATCTGTCTACGTGCCTTTTGTCTCGTCGCTCTTATACCCCCGCTGCCGCTGCTCGCTTTTCCCTTCCTCGCTTTGGGCAGATTTAACTGAACGTTAATCTCTGGATCTGCCTGATAATGCCATGGACACGTCGTGAATTAAAACACGGGAAAAAATAGAGAAAGAAAATCGTTTGGGCCCCCAGCAAAAAAAATCCACGCAGAATGCCGCACACAAAACAAGTGTCAATCAGTTTGAAATTATTTGTACGCCAGCTGCTTTTTTGTTGTTGGTTTTACTTGTCATATCAGCTCTTCGCTGTGTTGTGATTGGGTGGATGAGGGCGTTACAATGGAGTGAAGCTGCCTGCCACCCGCCCGCCCGCAGCCAGCAGACGGACTCATCTTTTTAAACGACCCGGCTGCCCCGTCCACTCCACCACACCACCGCCCCCTGCCGCCCCGCCGGCCCTGCCCCGGCACGGCACGGCACCACTAAATCCCACCTGTTACCGGCCGGAAGCCTTTTATATCCGCGGCAGTGAGCGGCCCTGCCGTGTCCTGCCCTGCCCTGCTCGGCCGTGTCCTGCCCCTGCCCTGCCCTGGACCTGCCCTGCTTCGGCCCCCCTGCCCCGCCCTGCCGTGTCCCACTCTGCCCTGGCCGTGTCCCGCACTGCCCTGGACCTGCCCTGGACCTGCCCTGACCCGCCCTACCGTGTCCCACCCTGCCGTGTCTCGCCCTGCCTTGGGCCTTGGCCCTGCCCTGCCGTGTCCCACCCTGCCCTGCCCTGCCCTGTCCCTGCCTTGCCGCGCGGGGCTGCGCCGATGCTCCTGGACCACTCCCACTTCCGCCTCCCCCGCGGCGCCCGGTCAAGTTGTCAAACGGTCACAAGAGCCGCGCGCTTTCTCGCGCCCTACACGCAAAAAATAAAAAGAATCATTGTACCAACGATATGAGTTGCACCTCCAGTAACATTTTGTTCTTGGAATGGCTTCAGAAACATAGGATGATATTCCAACGACCATGATTGCTGGCTCAACGACATGGTCGGTGGTACAACTACCGGCTGTCATTGTCATAGGGTTAGCAACATCGTGTCTTTGGACCAACAACCCGGCCACAAGAACACGACGGTCGTTGGAACAATGATTCTTTTTTTTCAGTGTACGTCAGCGAGAAGCGGTCGCATTGCCGCCTGATTGAAGTGTGCGGCAGTGCCGGTGTTGCCCTCCTGTCTGGCGTGCGGAGGCCCCGCCGTCACCGAGGCCATCACCAGCTACCACCCTGGTCGAGGTGGCAGCGGTCCGACGGCGGTCCCCGTGTCCACGTCCAGCTCCAGTGCGCGCTCGCTGTCAGCAAGGGGGCCGTCACAACGTACCCTTAGGCTGCGGCGGTGGTCGGGGCGTACGGTCCGGCGGCGGCCTCCGTCCCCATGCCGCCCGGCGCCGGCTGCGGCGGCCGCGTGCTACCCGCCCGGTCAGTCCCGGCCCCGGCGGCTCACTTTGAACGAACACCAGCGCCGACGACGACAAAAACAACAACAACTTTGGCCGTCGGTCCGAGGCATGGGTACCCTCTTCTCCCCCCGCTCGGCTCGGCGGCGTGGCTGACGCTCTCGAGAGCGGGGAGGCTGAGGCTGAAAGGGGTGGCGCTAACCCCGCGGAGCGCACGTCCGACGCGCAGCGAGACTCGGCCGCGACTGAGGAGGGGAGCCTGCTCCGGGCCGGGTAGGGGCGCCGGGCTCGACAGGGAAGGCCTGCGCGAGGACACCCCTGACACCCCTCTCCTGGCTGCTCCTGCTCCGGGGCGGGGGGCAGAGGGTGTCGAGGAGATCTCACATGCTGCAGCGCAAGGTGGAGGCAGGGAGGCGGAATGATTTCGACAGGTATGTGCGCTTTCCACAGGTGTGTGTGTGCGTTTGTTTGATTGTGTGTGTGAGGTAGAGTTTTGTGTGAGTGTGTGTTTCATCCGCGGAATTCTGCTTGCAGCAGCGCTTTTGCGCGTTTGTATGAATGTGTGCGTGCGAGCGTGCTTCTTTCCACGTCGAAAATCAAGGTGGAATCTCACTGACATTAACGACATTTCATGTGCTCCCCCCAGCCCTGCTCATAAAAAAGGGTAAATAGGGGGGAGGGGGTCAAAGCGCACGGGAAATGTCGTGATGCCAGCGGGAAGATTAGTATGTAGAGTAAAAGCCATCTGTTGTTTTTAGACATTACCACAACCGTCAGCCCCCTCAAAGGCCCCCTCCCCGTGGGCCCTTGTGGCGTTGCGCGGTGCCCTCACCTTATTGTAACACTACACCACGTTCACTGACGCACCGCTGTGGCTCGGCTGTGACGCCGTTCACAACTGCTCCTTCACGCGGAGCGGCATCCTTGACGTTGTTCTGTTTTTATTTTTTACAGTATGGTGGCTTTACTTTATAGAATCGTGTTAAGATTTTCATTTTTACTTCACACTTAACACCACTGTTTTTTTTAACATCCCAAAGAATTTTGAAGAAATGCGTACGATAAGTGAGCAAGCGAGCTCTCTACTCGGTCGCGTGGGGAGGACTCCTTTTCCGCGTTGTTTCAAAAAGCACGCGCCGAACAAAAGACGGCCGCGCAGGCGCAGACGCCGGGCAGAGGACGCGGCAACGTCGCGCCGTGGTCCGTTTCCGGTGCCGTAACGCTCGCTCTCTGCCCGACAGTTCTATCGAAGAGGCCTCGAGAGATCGATCCGAAGACACGCAGACGTAGAGAAGTGAAAATGGCGTCGGTAAACAACTTCGTTGTGATGTTTCTGTTCTGAATGTTTTCATTTACTGTAATTAATGTGACGGGCATTTGTTTTGTCTACGCCTAGAAGATGAATAATACACATCACAATGATACCTTTAACATAAGTGGTATGTATCTGGTCATTAAAGAAATATCTGATTGCTTGGTATGTAGGCTACGCGTACCTTTATGTGAGAGAGAGTTCCTTTTTTTTTATTGTCATTTTCTACTTTTTATGAACGAATTTTGCCTTGTTATCAATCACTTTACCTTTTCCGATGCTGGTGTATCTCATTTTAATTCACAGGGTGCTATGTAAATCCCAAATAATATCGCCTAAATAGTGTTCAAGTGAAACGTCAATGTTATTGTCTGACACCTTAACCTCACAACCTTCCTTACATGAACTGTTTACCTGTAATGCTGTACAAAGCAAATTTACTTTGCTGTTTAGTTTGACTGTCCAGAAAAGCACGATTTCTTCTGTTGTTCATGTATTTTTCCAAATTATGTTTTGAAGTGTGTTTTTTTTCTGTTGCAATTGACATGTATTGCTTATTTATTTGGCACTGTCGATGTGACATGAGTCATACTTCCTTTGTTACCTTATGTTTACCTTATACTTCTAATCTAAGTTTGGTTCTAATTTGCATTTTCATTCATTTTAATACGACCTGTGGGTCCTTTTATTTTCTGAAATATGCATGTGTTCTTTGAACCAAAGAACTGCCAGGAAATTTTTTAAGCACGATTTTTTCAATTATCATTTACCTGTATTCTTCTTGTGATCCATTTACGATCTTTTTGGCCTGACTAAATCGTATACTTTTTGCCTTTCCATTCTGTAGACCTGACGGCAGAGCAGCAGAAGATGCTCATCGACATTCGACGTCGTAAATCTGAATTGCTGCTTGAAATCCAAGTAAGTACAAAAGCGAGCCAGACGACCATTGCTGAGATGTTATCTCTATAGCCCGATTGTGCTAGGGAAAAAAATAGGGTCCAAGCTTACTGACAGATGGCCCTGCGCAAATGTATGAATTCATCTGTCTCATTGGATTTATTGCTAGATGTCAATTATTTTGAGGGTTTATGAGGTTTCAGTAGTCTCATCAAAAGACAGTAGTCTCCTTTTTTTGTTGCATTTAATTTGACACGAGAGACTTCTTTTTAAGTTGGTATTTCTAGTTTTATTTATCACAAATGCTGATACTGTACAATGGAGCCTCAAATGGCTCGCCTGTAACGTTTCTGTGGCTTTCTTGTTTTACTGAGACATAGAAAATGCTATCATTATTATTATTTGAGGAAAGTTTCACTTTAAGTATCACTTTATTAACATCGTCTGCTAGAGGAGCTGCCTTTTAACATGCCCATTTCCCTGGGGCGCTCATGTGAATGGATCCTATGTCCTCCCGAGCCTACCGCGGGGTCTAGAGATTTTATCGACGGCAGGTGCACATGCACATTGCTGCACACATCCTGCTCTGCAAGTGTGGTGCGCCTGACCCCGTTCTGTATGCTAAGGGGGCGGGACGTGGGGGAGGGGGGGACTGAGGCGTACTTACAACGTACAACCACGTCCTCACCACACCACCTCCTCTCCCGGGAATCTCCTCCGCGGGGACTTCAAACCCGGGCGGCGTGTCCTCAGCGACCCGGCGATGCATTTCCTAGAGAGGCCTGGTCGGGTCTGGGCCCTGGCCTCGCGGGCCCGTCCCGTCTCTCTTCTCGTCTTGCGGCGAAGGCCAAATATTGACTCGTTCGACCGAGTGCTGAGGTGAGTGTGCGGGGCGGGGCGGACCGCGGGGCGGTCCACACCCAGAGCACACGCCCCCTCTCCCCCTCCCGCAAGTACTGTATGCTCTAAATACATGCTCACATCGCTTAGCGCGTCCTGCCTGCCTGCCCGTCCCGCGACGGCCCTCGCTCGGCCTAGCTCGGCCTGGCCGTCCTATGTCCCGTGTGTGGGTCATGGTGAGACCGCGGGCAGCGGTAACAATCGCGTTCCCTTGTCGTGATTCAAGTTTTTCCACCTGCAGTTCTTACTTTGAAACCGAATCGTGTGGCCGCGTCTGGGTCGCGGGAAAAATTCATGGTATACAGAACAGCGTACACACACACACACATACGGCCTACCGACCGGTGGTTTTCCCTCGCACCAGCACCGCGCTGAACCTGGCCGGCCAGGCCGTGCGTGCAGTCGCAGTGATGAAGGAGAGAGCAAGGCGATTCCTTCGGTGGAGCGAGAGGTGAGGGGGGGGGGGGGGGGTACGCACGCACATTCCTCGCGCGACTCGTTGCGCTCGGCTGGCATACAATATTCAGAGAGACCTTTGCCTGGCAGGATCACCTAGTCACCTGCCTGCAGGCCCGGCCCGGCCAGACCAGTCGGGCGCGGGGAACAGTCCACCAAGCCCGACGACGACGACGTCGAGTTGGCGTTGCCGAGGGAACGGGGCGTTCGGAAAAGACGCAAATGCGAGCGAGCGTGGGAGTGGAGAGTGTTTACCTTTGGAGGGCTGCTGTGTCGGGGGCGTTCGGCCGAGGGGGCCTGCCTGGGCCTGGGGAGGGTTTGGTTTTGGGGGCCCCTCGTAGGAAAAGCAAAACAATGCTGTGAGAATGCCCATATGGTGGCGCGGCCCCTCGGGATGGGTGGTCGCCCTTTGAGAAAGAGGAGATGCGCTAACCAAGAAGAAAGGGTGTGGTTCGGTTCGGTTTGTAGCGGCGTGACGTGGCGAGGCGAGGCGCTGCAGCGCGGGGCGGGGCAGGGCGTTTGTTTACCGGAGGGGCTTTGCTACACCGCCCCGTCGGCGCGCCGCCCCGCGTGCTTCCTGGAGCGCACGCCGCCGCCGAAGTGCCGTGCCGTGTTCCGATAGCCAGAGGGGAGTATCTCTCCGCTGACCCCTTGCCGCGGGCCGGGACCCTCCCGCTTCCCACCATGAGGTACCCACCTCCCGCTGCCGCCGGACGGGCCGGTTCGCCATGAGCTTGGCTTTGGCCTTTTCGCGAGCCTTTCATATCCTTACCCTGCTGGCCGTTGAACTCGACCCGCTACTGCCTCCCGCCCGTGGAGCCGCGGCTCCCTCGTGGAGGTTCTCCTCGCCTCGATCGCTCGCTGCCATGGCCGGGGCGGCCGCGCCGCTCACGGTCTCTATTGGCGGTGCCTGGCGGCGGGCCAGAGGGCCTCGTATAACAGCTCGACTACGCCCCCGCCCGTCGTGTTTGTAAACACTAAACGGGTCAAATTGTTAAGTCCAGGAAGCAGGTGTTGCGTTGGCGGTGTTGCTGCTGCACACAGTCGGGTCAGGGATACATAGCAGCAGCAGCAGCGTCGCCACCGCCTCTCAGAACGCACTGCTCTTAGCTGTGTAAGTGGCACACGCTATCTGCGGTGTTCGGCGGCATCCTGGTGGCGCCGGCCCGGCCCGACCCGGGGCGAGCCTGCGAGTCCGTGACCGTATGCCCGCTCGCGGCCCGCGGGGCAAAGCGTTCACAATTTATCACGTCATTACGTTATCGTGGCCGGCGCCGTCGTGCTGCTGAGACGTGATGGTCGTCGTCGGCGACCTGGCTGGCACCGGGACCGGGGCGCCGTCGCTCAGCCCCCGCCCGGCCCCGCCCCCCGCGGCCCGGCGCTGCCCGCTGACCTTCTCCCTCCCCCTGCTCGCGGGGGCCGTTGCGGCAGGTCGGGGCGCCTCAGATTGGCTCGCGGGCGCCAGGCCCGGCCGCCCCTCGCCGATTGGACCACGCAGCTGCTGCTGCTGCTTGCTGCCCCGGTTGTTTGACGTGCGCACGGCACGCGCCGCTCGCCGCCGCTGTCGAGAAGTTTGGCCCGCGGACTGGAAGTTTTGGTCCGCCATGCGGAAAGTTCCAGGAGAAGCGGGTCGCGCGGCTTTTGGCTTCGGGACGTCCCGGTCGGTTCTGGTTGCTTTGTTTACTCGAGCGTCGCCAGCGTGCATTGCCAGTGATGCTCCTGCTGCTACTTCGCAGTCCTCCACTGCTCTTTCTCTCTCTCTGTCGCTCCCGTTGTCGAGCGCTGGACCCCCGCCGCTGTCCTGTCCTCTATTTTGGTCCTGGCGCTTGCCAAAGCTCCACGCCAAAAATCCTGCTCCCCCTCACCCCTTCTTTTCTCTTCGTCGCCAAAGCCCCCCACCCCTCCGTCCCTCCGTCCTGCAGCCGGGTGGGCTCTGTCTCTTCCCGCCTAACTTGCCCGCGGCCCGGGGCTTCTCGCGTGGCGGCCGCGGGACGTCACCAAGTCGGCGATGGTGGCGGCGGTGGTGGCGCGCTCACGCTCCCTTGTCCTGCTGCGGCTCAAAGCCTTGTTGTGCCCCGACACGTACTTGCCGTTTCCCGGAACCGCGAGCCGGCCGCACATGTCTTCTCGTTATCTTCTCGATGGCGGCGGTGACGACGACGACGACGCATTTGTCGTCAGAATGTTTATGGCAGTCAGTGAAGACATGAGGTGTGCGTAAGGGACGCGCGGGCGTGGTGTGGTCGTACTATGTCTTAACCGACTCGTGACGGTTGGCA